ATAGAGCAGGATCTTAGGGAGGCGGTGGTCCTTCATCCTGGAGACGTGCCCTGCCCATCGCAGCTGTGTTCTCAGCAACATGGCCTCAATACTTGAAACTGCTGCCTGTTCTAGAACAGATGTATTGGTCACGTAATCTGACCAGTGGATGTTTAGGATTGTACAGAGACAGTGTTGATGGAAGCATGAGACCATAGAAGTTGGACATAAACATAGATGTTGAACAGGAGGAATATGAGGACAACTGTTGTTAGAGAAATGGGGATGAGGTACAGAACATTAATTGCAAAATTCCCTTTAGTTTCAATGGGTTGAAATCAGGCTTTCAACTTAAAAAGCAGAACAGGCAGCTGAGGAAGAGGTGCTAGGTTAAATGTTTGAAGTCAAAAGGCAATTCTTGATCTCAAATGAATATGACCATTTTAGAAGTACTATTTGTTCAGAAACTTTGCTTTTGCATAGTGATTGTACATTTATTGACACATGAAAGAAGTTGTACACACCCTAGTTTATACTGTAAAGACCCTGGCCTAGACTGAGTTTATTACAGAATGTGCAGGTATTTTATGCTTTAACTGATGTGTTGTGTGGAAGATTTTTAAGAATAAATAAATACAATCTTACTGTAACCTTTAAAATGTTAAAATACTTAAGGTAAATGTCTCAATAGCTATTAACTTTGAAAACAGAAGTATCTGTAAGCTTAAGGGCCTGCCAGCTGCATGACTGCTTCACTGTCATGTACCACACTATTACTCTTATAGAGAACTATGAGGTACTGTTCCCTGACAAACCAGTGCTTTACAATGTATACCAAAACAAAATGTCCAGACTGATGATCCATCCATTCTCATTTCTCAGGTTTTAGAAACTGAAGCCGTGGTTAACAGGAATTAATGGTAACATACTGAATACAGTAGTATCTCTAAGGCTTTGCCCATTCAGAGCCTTGGTTTTGACATTCTCAAAAGTGGAAAAAATTTCCTTTTTATTTCACCAGTACAAGATCAAGCTCCAGATTTTAGCCTATCATGTCAGTTGATTTGGATTTGCAAACGGCAAACATATTAAGTCTATAATTATTTCAAAAGTCAAATCACATGTCAGATGGTTTTAGTAAGGAACTTGTTTTGTACTTATTCTGACTTATTGCTGAGACTGACAACTTAGTTTTGTTGTGTTTTATAAACTGTATTAAAGAGCTGATGTTAGATTAAGAGTATGAAGTATGATGATATGTTAATTTGCTTTGCTTGCAGGTGTGGGAGGGAAATATGTCATAGTAAGGAAATCCTATTGTTTTGCAGTCTTTAAGTATGTAAATGTTTTATAATAATATGTTACAGTTCCATAATGTCTGTGTGTTTTACAAACTTATTAGACAGTACCAGTCTCATCAGACACATACAATTTACATCTATGAGTAGGACATTCAGGACCAAGTCCTGTTTATGGGATTTATATGGCCACTGCTGATGCAGAGTGAGTAAAGAAATGTGAGTACTCCTGAACTGAGTTCAGCAATATGACATGGGAAGGAAGAAGGAAACTCTTCAACAGAAATAGTAATAAAAAGTCAGGTGGCCAAGTCTTCTTGTAAAAGGGGCTCCACAGTGAACAAAAGTAGAACTGGAGTGTTAAGTTGCATCTGAAATATAGCACCTGCAGCAGCATTGATTCCGGTGATAAGAAAACCCTGTCAGGCATCTCTGTTGCATTAATGAAAGACCTTCTTTGAGATGACAGAGTGGATCAAAGCATTTTGAACTCTTGAATAGGATATTACTTTGTTCTAGACCCAAAGAAAATACTGCTGCCAATTGAATGCCGTATATTGAGTCAATGCCGTATATTGTATCATCCAGTTAATCTCCACTGGTGTCTCTTTGAAATAATGACCCATCTTAATTAGATATTAAAATCTACTCATAACCAACTGAACTGTGGCTGGGGCATCTCTTAGCATTTACACATATAATCATGGGAAAGATGTTGAATAGGGAAAAGTGATTATTATGCAGATTTAGAAATAGAGGACATTTTCCTATGTGAAGGGTGTTTAATTGTTGTATAATGTAGAATCCAGTTATTTAAGAGACTGCTGCTTTTCCTATGGTGCGTTAC